ATTATTATTATTATTATTATTATTATTATTATTATTATTATTATTATGATTATTATTATTTGGTGAACTGACGCTTGATATACATTTACAATATTACACTGGTAAAGTGAAGGGAAGTTCTAAAGGGCCAGTTCAGCGTCCTCTAACCTCGGGAGATCACCCACCGCAGGGTGCTTGAGTGGTTGCTGATCTTGAATCACGAAGAAGAGCCGGCGGCGGCGCGGGGCGTTTGGGCGTTCGCCAGTCTCCACGGGTGTCGGGGGCGGCTTGCCGGCCACTTTGCACTGGCGGCGCACTTGACCCGGCGAGCCAAGTGCGGCGGCGCTGCGCTGGGCGAAGGATTGGCAAATCATCTCGCCAGTGAACAACGACTTCGGTCCCTGCCACGGCCACTTCCATTGCCCGCCGCCCACAGCGCCACCTCCGCGGCCGTTCTCACCCCACCGTCCTCCCCGCTCCCGTAATCTGTCTTCTCCCACAATCCTATTTGCCGCGCCTCCTGCCATCCTCTCGCCTTCGGCATCCTCTCCGCCTTTGCCATCCTTCCCGCACTTGCCATCCTTCTCGCCTCAATTGTCCCGCTTCCATCATTCAAGCGTCCAGCATCCCCTCCTAGCCTTCTACCATCTTCACCGTCACTCCCGTTCTGCCCAGCCTCACCCCTATTTGTCCCCGCCTTCGCCACTCCTCTCTACGTGAACCCGCCTTGGGTTTCCCCGCATCCCCGTCCCGCCGCTTTTTATGCAATGGCGTTATTTGCCGTGCTCGCGTCTCTCTGTGTTGCCACGCGTTTTGCATATTACGGTTTGATTGTGGGTAGTATAAGGCTCGGGCGGGGTGTGGGTGGAGTTGGGGCGTCGCCGTGGCCGCCGCGAGGCTAGCGATCGTTACCGTCTTGAATCAACGTCGAATGCAGGTGATGTGGTCGTTGAAATGCAGTTCTGATGCCAAAGGTTACAATAATATGTGGTGAATTGTGTGCGATTTTTAAGAGTTTCAATTAGAAAATTTTGCCGGTTCGGATGGCCGAGATCGCTAAGGCAATAGTGCCGTAACGATCTCGGACCGAAGGATCGCGGGTTCAAGTCCCACCTCGGGCATGGTTGTATTGTGTTCGTCCTTTCACACCCCTATGATCATATCGTGTCATCCTCATAGTGACTTACCGTTACACGCAATAGTGGTCGCTAATGACCTAGTTGTTGATGCGACCTTAAATAACAAAAAAAATCCGATCATTTTAAATGAAGTTTACAATGAAAGTGATGAAAATAGGAACGAAACAGTTATTAGGCTCGCAACATCAGTAATTGATGTACAATACGTATTATTATTGTTAATAATGATATGCGTCTTATATTGTAGTGCAATCATTGCATTCACATTATTTGTTGTGCTATGTAGCTTACAGAGTTTGAAAAACGTGAATACACGCTAAGTGTACAAATCGTGTCATTAAAAAGCATTCGAAGGAAAGAGAATGAAGATTAATTTTGTTATTTAATCCATTAATCCATATTTTTAATTTAGATGTTGCACGCTGTGTAATGAAGTCTCTCATTGTCTGGTCTCCTCTAGTTTGATTTATTCTTTAAGACAGGAAACTGAAATATTTTCATGTGGTATGTAGTTTCTCCCCAATAGTGACGACACATTATTTTGCAACTCTATCAACAGAAAATTAGGTATCTTAACGGGGATTATTAGTGTGATTCACAAATTTCAGATTTTACGAATTTTTCAGTTGCAAAAACGAAAATATCAAAAACAAAATAAAGAAACATGTGGTCAAAAGTAAAAACCTAGTTCAATTTTGACACTTGTTGTAACAGGAGAGAGGACTGTATTCAGTATTGAAAGAGTTCGCTTAACCTTCCCTTGGAAGACCAAAATACGTTCGTTTTGTTGACCCTGTCACGGTGGTTGAATGCGAGGTCCACAAACAAGTGACGTTGAGCGGGTACTGCGTCGTAGGCTGTTGCTCAGTGCTGCTCCGCTGGCCACGACAACCGCTCACGAGGAGCATGACGTCATCTCGTGGATGATTGAGCTGCCTCTGAGTTGTCAATTACTGTGATCGAAAAGCAGCCGTCGATGTCCTGTTGCCTACACATCGGGTCGTGAAGTATCCCGTCGAAAAACACCATCTCACGATGGGAGAGAATACAAATGAGCATCGTTGTCGAGGAGGTAGTGAGGAAACAACGTGCACTTGCCGAAGTTCTGCTCATTCGCATTCCTTGCTGTTGCAAGGATGCAAGTTTTGAAAGGCAGTGAGTGGGATGTGCAAATGGCCATGGTCAATGTGCTTTAAATTCCACAGAACTGACGTTCACCCACCAACAGTACGTTAGTTTACCTTAGAGAGTAAATTAGGTTGTTGCTTGTGGCGGTATTTGTGATGAAGGGAGCAAACAATGGAACTTCACGATCAGTTTTCTTTATAACATTTTCACAATAACAGTCTTATTCTTTTTATAACAGCTCCTCCGTACCATTCTATTGCTTTTTATGAAGAACTCGAGAGGGAGCTTATCTCTAAGTAAGAGTATTTCTATGTTCAGATTTTGTTAACTTTCTTGTAAAACCCTCACCCTTTGTATAAGAACATTTTGAAATATGGAAACACATTCAATTTGTTGTTTATTGATATGAATTGAATATATGACTTGTACTAATGTACATATTACAAATACTATGAGCAGAAAGGGAAAATAAAAGTAAGGGCGAAATAGTAATTGGTGGTAGAAGCTTGAATAAAACCAGTACACACTGTTCTACGATTGTTATCGTAAACCATTCGCTAAAGAAATTTAGCATTATTTCACCTCTTGTAGCTTCTTTTAAAAACTAAGATTATACGTTTCTATGTTTTGAACAGAATTGAACAATGGATGTATTGGTAGATCATCTTTGAAATCTCCAACCTTTTTTTTTCACTCGACAGAGCTTTTCTTATATTGCAAATCTACATAAAGTTCTTTTATTTTTTCCAATGAACGACGCATGAATAAAAGAAACGTCAAACGAAATTCCACATTCCCGATGCCTGGTTCCCAACCACTCCCGGGAGCCGAATCCCCAGAGGTGACTCGGGTTAACGGTCGCCCTTTTTTACGACCGTTCTTTTTACTGGCAGCGCCGTGCTCCCGCAGAATGTGGATCATGCGAACCACCACGGATTAAGAGGAGATAGAAGAATTTTAGTTGTGTTTCCCAGAGCAGGTCTACTTTGTGCAATATTTTTTATGGGTCATTTTTGTGCTTTTGATAGGATATGGTGTAATTTCGTTTTTAGGGTATTGGGAAAAATATAGAATTCTGAAAAATTGGAATGGTGTGAATAGGTTTTTAAATTGGTTCATTGTACTGATTTCTGTGGCGATGACTACAAGTCACTCTTGATCATGTTTTTCCAGCGGCTGATTGAGCCTCTGGTTGCAAAGACTCGATAATCATTCATCACTATTATTAAATCCAAACATCTCACTGAACTGATGAATATCATGTGAAATCAGGCGTACTGAGGCAGGACTCGGGGAAAAGGTATGAAATATCCACAAAAGCAGAATGTCTCGGAATTTGAATAAAAGCAGAATGTGTGCGAATAAACCTGTCTCGGAATTGGAATAAAAGCAGAATGTATTCGAAGAAACCTTTAAGAAACCAATTATTCTCATCTCGATAATACTTCGAATCCGATTCAAATAGAACCCACAACTCAGGGTCCAATTATGGCCATATTGTACGCTGGATTTGAGTACATATAACAACATCTAGATGTTCGCGCTTTTGATTTCCATCTCACTTCCTTTTCGTTGCTATGCCCGTTTCGAGAGTTTTCGGAAATCACGTAACAACAACAACAACAACAACAACAAATTAAACAAGCAAATAAAATGCGGCACTGAAGGCTACACCCGCGTGCTGAGACGTGTGTACCTGGGTGCCCTTCCAGGTCTTTCCGGGGTGCTCGCCGGAACTGGCCCTGGCACACAGCAGAGTCAGGCGAAACGGAGAGAGTCTGGGTGGAGAGGGACGGTGTCGGGCGGAATAGAGGAGTAAAGCAGAAAAGAGAAGGGTGCGGAGAAGGGCGGTGCGGAGAAGGGCGGTGCGGAGAAGGGCGGTGCGGAGAAGGGCGGGTGGCGGGAGAAGGGCGGAGCGGAGAAGGGCGGAGCGGCGTCGGGCGGGGCGGGGCGGCGTCGGCGGGGCGGGGCGGCGTCCGGCGGGGCGGGGCGGGGCGGTCGTCGGCGGGGGGACGGGGCTTTCCGCGCACTTTCTCCTTCTCCTGGCGTCCCCGCTCTCTTGCGCTGTGTTGACGCCCGCGGCGCGTGGCGCTCCTTTGCTTTCGAGTGGTCGGGAGGAGAGGGGCTGAGCTGACCGCGCGCTGCTGGCTCTCGTCGCCTTTTGATCGGTGGGGCCACCCCGCGCCGCGGGGCGTTCGGAGAGAGGCGCTGCAGGCTTAGCCAGTGCGAGTGGCGCGCTGGGCTTCATCTCATGTCGCGTGGTGCTGAGATGCTGTTGTTTGATACACAAATTGGTATTGCCATCAACAAATCTATGTATAGAATAATAATACTTATCTCAAAAATCGGCGCGCTGATATTAATCGAACCTTAAATATTGTAGCTTCTAATATTAACTTAAGCACTTAACTATAAACTTAAGCACTATCTTATTAATATTATTACAATTATTCTATTATCGTTTGTATAAACCTAAGAGTTACAATACAATATTAGCGTTATAATTATATGCGTTTTCTTTCGTAAGAAAGAATATTCGAATACGTTTCGTTATATGTATAAATTCTACATTTTGCAATTCATGTTTATATACCACAAACGTAATTTTTACGTAAGAAAGAGTCACACGTGCACCATTATTCTAAACGATGGAACGTTAGAGAAAACTTATAAATAAATAATGAAAACCTTATAAAATAAATAGAAACCTTATAAAATAAAAGAAACCTCATAAAATAAATAGAAACCTCAAGAATGGGAAGTTCCGAAGTGTTGCAACGTCCCCCAGTTACGTCGTGGCCCAGGATGAATGTGATGCGCCTGCTGCTGCCAGAGGACTATTGTTTGCTACGGAACCCTTCCATTGTGTTCTGTAGTTTGGTGGTGATCGTGATCAGCGAGTGGAAGGGGGAGGACTGTCGCAAAGCGGTCAGCGATGAATGTTAAAAAGAGAGTAAATTGTGCAGCGGGCAGAAGAACCGTTTTGTAAGAATGCATTGTCCGTGCCCGCTTGAATGCGCTCCTGTAGCTCAATGTTTCGAGGGAAGTGTCACGACGTGAGATCTTCGTGTCATGAATTGATAGACCACTTTATTAATTTTTCCCATTTACTGCTCCTTTCTTCACTATCAGTTGTATTTATTTATGAATTTCTGAAGGTTTTTTTTTTTTTGATTTTGTTATTATTTGAGTTTGTTTGAGAAAGTATCACTAAAAATCACATTTTGAATTGTCAATCTGACATTAACTCATGCTATATTTTTTTATGTTTTTAGTCAAATAAGTAGAGTAAACTAAGTAGGACTGATTACATAAGTATCGATTAAATTGTTTGTTTCTTCCGCATAACTAGGTTGTTACAGTAATCTCAGAAATGCATAAATCAGGATTCGTACATCACAATTTTTTCTTCTCTGTCTTGTCAATGCTACATTCTGATCTTCATAGTCTTTTTTTGTTTCGTTCTCAATAGGTATCCCTTGTTTCTCCAAGCACAGCTCCCACTTTGTGTAGGTAAATCTGGTAAGCAGAGAGCAGATAGTGGGAGGTGGTGCCGGTGTATTGAGTCGACATTGCAACGGTAGGGGAGCCTGCAACCACACAAATGACGCGACGATGGTTGTGGATAGGCAAGCTGAAGCAATGGAGACTAGAATGACAACGTTCGCAGGTCCCCAAATTCGCCACATTGTGTTCAGTTGAACTGTACGGTATTGTAGGAACCACAAGGTAGTATAGTTGCGAATCATCAGTTTACCAAAAACCAAGATAATATAGTGGAAACTCTCCACAACACGCACGATTGTATTCATTTCTCCTGAACTCCAGACTGCAGCCTGGCGGAGCTGTCGGATGAAGGGATATTAAATGGCGGCGGCCGTTCAGGCTGCATCTACGGTCTCTCGGAGTGGAGGGGAATGGAGGGGAGTGGAGTAGAGGGGAGGGGAGTGGAGTGGAGCGGAGCGGGTCGTGCGCGGCGGAGACTTTACGGCCAGTCGTCACGCTAGCCGGTACTCGGCGGGACTGCGGTGCGCGCGCGCTTTTTATTTCGGCGGTGGTGGAGGCGGTGGGGGGAGGGAGGAGGAGAGGCAGGGTGCGCTGGGCGCCGGTTTATGTCTTTACTACGGCGCCTGTGGGGGAGGGGGGCGATCTGGCGACGTGGCAACTCGCGGAGAGGGGTTGGGTGGCACCTGCATCGATGGCCATGTTCTTTCGGTGCTAGATGCGGCCATGTTCTCGAGGGGCATTCGGATGTAAATAATGGCATCTGATATTTTTGGTGAAAGTGAGGCTATTGGCCTTTGTGAACAAAGGGAAGTAGTTGTCAACGAGAATCACGGACAAGGTTGTGCTGAAACAAAACACCTGCATTCACGGGAATGTTCTTTTGGTATTGGATTCTGCCATCTTTACGGGTAATTGAGGAATGTTGGTGTATATACTGCAATATGACATTTGGGGGTGAAACTCAGATTGTTGGCTTCTGTGAGTAAAAGAGGGGAGTTCTCACTTGGAAGCATGGAGAAGGTTGAGCTACAAAAACACACCTGTCTCCAAAGGGATGCTCTTTCGGAGTTGGATGCTGAATTTTTCACTCCAGGCAGTAAGGTGTAAATAAATGGTATCTGACTTGTGAGGTGAAATCGAAAGTATTGACTTTTATGACAGGGAGTCGTTCGCACCGGGAGTCACAGTGAGAATTGAGAAAAACTCGCACCTGCCTCGACGGAGAAGTTCTTTCTATGTTGGGTGCGGCCTTCTTCAAGGTTAATTGAGACATTCAGGTGTAAATACTTTTATCTGATATTTTGGGTTAAATTTTGATTATTTCCTTTTGTGAAGGGAAGGGAGTAATCCACGATTTTTCAAATGGGTTCAGGAAGCGATACCAAATAGCAATGTTATTTCACTAGTGTATAATGGCGAGTGAAGCTCGTTTTATGTAAACGTTGTAACATTTTGCAGTAATTTCATATACAAAAAAAATCGTAAAATGAAAAGCACATTGATTTACATCCAGTGCCTCATAATTTTGTGAATTATTTATATGTACTCTTCGGAGCTGTAAAATCTTAATGAAAATAATGTAAATATTCGGTTGTAGTATATTATTCAATGGAAATCGTTTTCTGTGAGAATGCTGCAATTTGCCTAAGGCTTTTTCCTGACGAATACAGTTACTCAACTGGCAGTAGAAAACAGTACAAAAGGCAACCTCTAATCATAAAAAGACCCTGACAAGTCGTCCCGTCTATTAAGGTCTACAAAATGTACGGCACTTGCTATGGCGCTCAGCTAATATTTACCTAGTAAACGAAATATATATTTAAGTTCTAACAAACCAACAATCAACTTTAAATTTTCTGGACACCTTTTTTACGTAATTTGAATTTATTTCTGTTATATCTTCAAATTTTCCTTAAATACTAGTAAGTAAGAAACCACCCCTAAAAAGATGTGCCAGTGTTTCATGTTTAAGGAGGAAAGTGTCGGAATTCTTGGTAGAAAATTAGGTACTGCACCAAGCAGTTAGCGTGTCGCGACCGCTCCTAGGTTTGCTCCATCGCCGTGTTTCCGGATGCGGTGCTAAATACTGATGGAAAGGTCTAGAATGTTGACGAAATAGTCCGGTCTGCTTGAGTAAGAGACATGGGTGCCTTCACCAAGCTGTCGTTTGCTGGTGACTGTTTAAATCTTTAAAATACCCGCTGACTTGCGTATTCTTAGGTTTTTACTGGCCTTCAGATCAAAATTTCAACTCACGTACCCTTAGCCGAGCTGTAATTTATGCAGCCATACATTGACGTTTTGTTTGAATCCTATGTTACTACTCAGAATTTATCATGTGTTATTCAGGCATTTAAAGCTGTAGTAGCCTAAACTAATGAAATCCCTTTCGTAAAATTTAACAAGAATATATGCCAACGACGTTTTAAATTAGAATTTTCTTTTTATGCGTTTTGTTACTCCTGAAGAGTGGGGAGAATAATTAGCACTTCAAAAAACAAAAGATGTCACAATATTGTGGTTAATTACGCGTAATCTCTCACGGGACGTAGCTTTTTTTAATCTGATAAGAACAAATTTCATGTTTTCTGCGGTTGATAGTATGATACTCATTCACATTTAATGCCTTTGTATTGTATTAAGCCGTATTATGAGGTTAGTGGATGCTACGGCAACAATCTGCTCGTACATCAACATCAATTTGCCGAATAGTTGGTGTTTCGCATGTACCTCGTTAGTTTTGTTCGTATCTACATACATCAGAAAACCGTCCGTAGATTTCCTTTCTGCGTACTGCGTTTCTGGGTATATCGGAGCGTGATTCCACGTCGTTAACCATCCGCTTGCCCTTCTCCGCACGCACTTCCCACGCACACGTGTGGCGCATTGGCGGCGCGCGTTTTGCTGTTGTTCGTATGCGCGTGGTCGCCCGACGTGGGAGCCACGGCCATGGACTCGGAGGAATGGTGACTTCATGTTTTTTACAAGGGTGATACCAATTTCTGTTGCCTTCAATAAGGACGCGTACAAAGTTCTTTGACCTCAGTTCGGTAAGACGCCGTGAACGGGGTACTCTGAAATGTTGGTTGATGTTTTTTTCAGATTTAAAAGGAATCGCGTTGGAACTATTTGGTACTTCGTTCAAAAAAAACTACTATTAACACAGTAATTTCATCCTCCTATTTTTTGTTTGTTTAAGAATCGAATTACTGCAAGATTTTTTTCATATCATATTTCGGCACTTGACGAAAACAATGGCGGTTTTTAGATGTCACTTTTCTTGTCCATGGACGATGTATAAAACTAGTAGTTTCTACGTGGTGTTCAACAGCCGCAACAGTTTTTCGTTAATACAAATACCGAGTTAACACCTTGCTGTCTTTTATACACAAAATATATTTCTCAACAACATTGTTTTTCAAAAGTTAAGGGTGTTAACTGGCGATTTGACACATTTACTCTTTGGTTCCACTTCTACAGCAGTGTTAGTGTCTGATTGAAAGAGGTCAGGTCTGTGGTCAGTAGAAACGACAATTGGTCTACAGCGCTTTACAGCTATGGATGTTTTCCGTCCATATCTAATAAACAATATTGTCGTACTACAGCTTTCGTTTTATTGTTATACAGCTAAGGATGTTAACCGTCCCATACCTAATAAATTACCTTTCACGTAATTTCTCTTAATTTCCTTTTCTACCGCAATTTTAGTGTGTGATCGAGAGAGCGGTAGGTCCGTCAACGACAGGAACAAAACCGTCTTGTTGTTCTACAGTGTTCTACAGCTAAGGATGTTTACCATAGAATACCTAATAAATCACCTTTCCCACATTTATTGTTTGCTTCCGTTTCTACCGCAGTGCTAGTGCCTGATTGAGAGGGGGCAGGTCTATCGTCAGCAGAAACAAAACCGAGTTGTGGGCGAACGCTGAGGGGCGGGCGGTGCGGCGTTGTGTAGGTGGCTGACAACGCGGGGAGTGGAGGGGGGAGCAGGTGAGGGGCGCTGACGGCGACTCGCGTGACCGTGGAGGCGGCTTCGGCCACCTCCGCAGTGTTATGCAACTGCCCGCTCGCCCCCTCCCCCCCCCCGCACCACCACCACCACCAACCGCCCGCGCCGCACAGTGCGCGGACTTAACACTACAACTGCAATTTATTTTTTTTAAAAAAACATGTCATGCACGGAACTTGCATTCCCGTGCTGGATTTTTATGAGCGAAACAGCTATTATTTTCATTCCAACTAATAGTGTGGGAAACATTGGGATGCGGGTGGGACCCACGGAGAAGTGTTAAAAAAGTGTTATATGCAACACGTGCGCGAGGTAAGTTGCGCGCTTATGCCGCCCGCGTGTACGCTCAGGGGACAAACTCAACTCGTGCGCGAATCACCCGATTTTTAGCCTTATAGACACTTACACTGTAACCTACTGCGTATCACTACACTACCACATACGTCGGGAGACGGTTTGGGAGCTTAGAGCTTGTTCCGGCTGCGGCAGTGCTGGCTGGAGGAGATACAATGAGTGGGGAAACCGCGCAAGGGGGCGTGTAGGTCGGCAGCGATCTCGTGTTCCAGCGGGGGAGTAACCCGTCACTTCCGGGATGTAGGACGCACGACAGCGACTACACTCACGGGACTTAACGACCAACGAGTTGATGCCCCCCGGAAAACAAGATATACTACCATACTATTATTCAATTTAATTACATTGCCTTCCGAATTTTTATCTGCAACACGCGGTTAGCCAATCGGGAGCTTCAACGCCAAAATTAAGTAGTAATGCAGTTCCCGATCTCATCTGAGCGATCGTCAGACGTTACTACAATTAAATCAGAGAATAGTCACTAGTTTGTTGGGTCATATTTTTTTAAAGTTCGCTTTTCGACAATTTAGTCATATAGCGACCATTACGATTTTTTTACTATAGGGAGAAAAAAAACATATCCATGCGCGAGGCGAGATTCGAACCCGCGACCCTTCGAGCCGAGGCTGCTACGGCCCTCCAGCCTTAGCGACCCGGACTATCCAGGCCGGCAGTTTTGTCCCGCTTGCTCTACACCTTGGGGACTGTGCGCGCGCTCCGCCTGTGCTGAACCGCGCGGCGGCCGAGCCACGACCGGGCCTTGCGGGCGGCGGCAAGGACGCGAAGGCGGCGGCGGCGGCGGCGGTCGCTCCCGGCTCCAGCCGAGAAACGCCCTCCGCGGAAGTTTTGTTCTCGTTTACACTTCGCTCGCAGAGCTGCTCGCACACCGCCTAGCTACATAGCGCAGCTAAAACAAGGCGAAACTGTGCCTACTATGCTGGTCGAAAACGCCAAACGTTTAAATCAGATGAATGCGTGTACTGGATTTTGCGAGAAGTAGCTCTTCGAGTGGTAGATAGTTTTGCTCCAAATGGGAAACGAACACGAAAATAGTCTGGTGAGGGGGAGCAACTGGAGAGACGGACCAGACACAAGAGAACGGACGTTTGGGGTTCACTCATGGCGAGAAAATCGTAGAGAAATAGTGCCATTTTAAATGATTTCAATCAAGATAATACTCATCTGTTTGAGAAAGTCAAGAAGACTCGTGTGTTTGGTAGGACACACGTTGCATTGAACTCTTCGAATAATTGTTGCAAACGACAATGTTAGTTTCGAATATGGACTTTAAAAGGTTGGACTCAGAATTGTAAACAAAGTCACGTCACTAAGAAAACAAGTAGCCGCCTTTGAGAAAGTTACTCTAATCTTACGTTTTCTGTCTAATAGCCATTCTTACCAGAGCTGTAGTGACGTATCTATTTTAAATTATCTGATAAAGGGAAAAGCTGTACTATTTTCATCATACCCACAACCTGTCGGATGGATTTCCAGCTATAGCTGCACCGTTCTCTGTCTTAAACGTGCGCTGGCGTAAGGGATTGTTTGTCTGATGAAATTGCTGTTCATAGGGGGCGTGCTTGTGGAAAAGTAAGTAGCAGGGAGAGTTTTTTTCCTCTTCTGGTGAGTGGGGAATAATAGCACTTCTATTAGTATAAGAAGCTGTCAGAGCCCCAGTGTATCAGCGCTTTGTAAGCGAGAAACAATAACGTGCAAAATAATTTAAAAAGAAAATGGTGAACAGAATGTAGAACTACGTTAAAAACTCTTCCTCCATCCCCTTTACACATCAATTCTTTTTGTGTCCGTTCCTTTCTTGAACTTCTCTTTCTTCTCCTTCTGCTTCTTGTTCAGCTTCTTCTCCTTCATACTCATGAGTAATATTTGTAGAGTACAAAAATGTAATCGTTATTCCTTACTCGAAATGTTTCCATATCGCTAATGATATTGTTTATTTTTGTTTCAGGTCAGTATAAGGAAGTCGAAAAACAGATGAGGGTGCTAAGGCTGATATGGTGAGTGAAGGTTTTGCTGAGCCTTCTGCTCTGCATTAAGCATAGTTATGTCCCTCAAAATGATTTATCGGAGATGAGAGCTTCACCGAGAAGCAGTTATTTCGCAACATTTCTTGCTTGAGTCATTTTCACATGAATAGATGCACATATTTTCTCAGTGATTGTGCAGTTAGTGTCTCTGATAAAAGTCCCTTCCTGATTTCTCATAGTCGCACAAAAACATTTCGCATGCAATCGTGTTTCTTGTGAACGACTATCAAGGGTTCAATATGTTAGCCATTATCCCAAGGAATTTATGTCGCAGTCTTTTCACACTCGCCATTGCGTTATGACTCCATAGACGCATTATATAATACATTAATGCGCCTCCACATGAATAGTGACTCTGCAATGCGAGATAAGAGATGTGGATTCGCAGTTGTCATCTTTTAGCGGGAAAGTGTCACTCCAAAGATGGAATGCAACTTCAGAACACATGCTAAATATTAGAATAGAATTTGTATTGTAGTAATCACTCGCATAGAAATTTTAATAGACAATACGTTTGTCACTGGTTAAACTAAACAAAAACCCGGAAAAAGCGACAAGATGCTTTTGAGAGCAAGTTGTGAAACAGGCGACAACTTCCCCTAAGACTCTGCAGTACGTACTGCTTTCTACCAGTTTTACCTGACCCAGTGTACGCAGCGGCTATATCCTCCTCCAGTATATCTCATGCGCGGCAGTATCATAAGTACATAAAGGAATCATGCGTGACTCAGGTACAGTAGCGTGTACGATTATATCGCTTCATATAAAGAGGCGTCGTAGGCGATAGTTGGAAATTTTGCGAGAGGTAATAACACTTTCTTTGACATATATAATAATCGGAAGAGTACAATATTGTCTGATTCAAAAAATTGAAGTTATGAAGTACTCGCTGCCTTAAAGTAAAGGTTTCAAGAAACTTTTCGACACAACTGCAAACAACGTCTTATCAACAAAATGTTTTAAGAGTAATTCGTTACGAGTGCCAAAGACCACGTTTATTGGAACGTCATTAAATCAATCAACAAACATTTTTGACATTTAGAAACGTTGGAATGCAAATTCAGTCCAGGGACATACAGACATGTTGAAAATGATTCAGACTCGTTGAATTGCAAGAACTTCAACTCGTTTCGTACAATTCTCGCTTTACGCTCCTAACAATGCTTTCTCAAACGACAAATCTTCTGAGCATAGCACTTCCAGAAATCTACTTTTTAAATTATAGGGGTATTAACGTGTGCTGAAAGAAATTCCAGAGATACATAAATAACGCCCCATGGTTCATTTCTACTAATCAGCTTCATAAGGAATTCAATATTGTATTATTAGATCACCACATCACATACTTTCCCACACGTTTGCATCTAAACATACACACATACATGCATATCCCACAAGCTTGCATCATAACAGCACTCACAGAATTGAATCTCACAAAAAAAGAATACAAAATAAACACCCAGAATTTAGAATTAATGTCATTTTCATGCACGAGTGTCCAAATGAAATTCGCAAACTTTGAACCTGATTAGAGGACCCATAATGGGAGGTCTCCCAATGTATATGTAAGTTTAGAAGTAATAAGTTAAGTAAACCCTCATTACGCGAAATCCAATGGATGGAAATAATCGCAGTTTGTGTTGTAAAAATTCGTGTTGTAAAAATTCGTGTTGTAAAAATTCGTGGTGTAAAAATTCGTGGTGGTGTAAAAATATGTGGTGTAAAAATTCGTGTTATCGGATTATTATAAATGATCATATTACTCTAATCCCATGTCGGGACCCAATTGCGTATGTAATGTTTCAATAACTACGTATGTATTTACCTTCAGAAATGAAATTATAAAAAAAAGGTATTCTTTCAGTGGCGTTGTATTGGAGGAGAGTTTGAACAGTGAGCGAGGCGAGCGTGTTCGTGTTTACGTTGTCGGCGGCGGCAGCGGCGGAGAAGGGGAAGCGGATATTCCCGGAAAGGCGCGTCTTGGGCGCAGCGTTGTCACGGCGCAGGCGCGACTGCGACTGGATTCCTAAGCGGGTGGCGCGGCGCGGCGCGGCGCTTACTGCGCACCGCTCCGCTGGACTGGTTTACAAGTGCTAGGCGCCCTGCGCCCGTCACTTAAACAAACACGTGTGGGAGAGAATGCGCTCCTTCACTCATCTTCTTCCTACTCCACTTCCTTTTTTATTCCACTTGCTCTCATTTTCCTCTTTGTTCTTCTTCTCTCCTTGTTCTACACTCTTTTTTTCTTCGTCCTTCTCTCATTCTTCTTTCTCCACTTATTCTTTCTTTTTCTTCTTCTTCTTTCGCTTTTTGTACTTTTTTCGCTTCTTTTCCGCCCTCTTTTTCACCACAATAGCTTCCTTCCTCTCTTGTATTTATTCACCGCGTTTGTTTTAAACTGTTTGAATTAATGTTAATTAGTTTTTAACTTGTTTGAATTAATGAAACTCAATAACAATGGGGGAAAAGCATTGGTGTCATGGGAGAAGAAACAGGAAAACTAAGAATAAAGCTTCTGGGAGCAAATTCAACCCACAAGAAAGTTCACTGCAATTAACCGAGATCAAATGTAACAACGGTGCAGTCTGAGCACTGAGCCATAAACGTGACATGCATTTAATAATCAACATTCATACGTTGTTCTCTGCTCACATGAATCTAAATAGATAAACTTTATGTGAAGAATGTTCATGGTTTTGCGTTTTCCCGTAGTTTGAAAGTTTTACGTTTCCTCTTTACGAAAGTCTATAATTCTGCGTCAGTGTTCTTTGCTGTACCACCACATCACGCAGAAACGTAAACTTTCCCATGAAATACTGTGAAATTTCCTATTGCAATGCCGGAGTAAATCGCATTAATTGCGGTTTGGTGTGAACTCCGTGGGCTGCAGATTTAGACTTTCATCGCCACTTCCTTATATTGTCGATTCCTCTTCGGATCTCGAAGCGGAGATAATTTCGAGCGACCAAATTACTTTGTTAGATGTTTCCTCTTTAAGGCATTCGGAGGAAAAGCTCTCGTGAAAGGTTGATCCTTAGCTTCGCACGCTTGAATGGCAGGTGTTTACAAACTTTCTTTCACGGCGTGTGAACACACAGATGAACCCTGGTGTGCCTTTCGCGTGAAACAGGCGGTTGCTCGCGACCTTACCTGCCGTCGAGTGGCGTTCCAGTTTCTGGGAGGTGAGGAAAGTTTCTCGAAGTTTGGTGGCTTTGCAAGTGATGCGATAGAAACAAATCAGGTTTAAACATTTTGGGATATCTACTTATGAAGTGCATTTTTACTGTTGGCAATACTATGTTATTCTGAATGTGTTATTTAATATACTAATCCTCTTTATCAAATGCTAAAGTATTGTTTTGCGTGTTGAATTTGATGTTGGCTGTAACTAGATCATCTTTTTTTAATATTTCTTTTCTTGCTGAAATATTTTTTTTCTGGGAACCGAAACCCCAAAAAGTATGTATATGTATATATATATATATATAATATTTCAGAGATTAGTATTTATCGGCTTTCCAGCGCTTTGCCTTTGTTTTAGAAATTGTAGTTGACAGCTTCCTATTGGGATTCAAAAGTAGATTACCTAATGGACGCACTACTGAAATATTTTTGATTGCGTTAGAGGATAAACTAAAATATGCCAATTTTGCCCGGAAATGATGAGTTCGATGATTTGAAGAGAGAGTCAAAAAGGTCAAATTCACAAAGTTGAATAGAATTCACAAAGTTGTCAACTGGGGCCAATTCTAACGTAACTGATGATTATTATTTTTTCACTTCTGAGAACCAGCTTCAATTCTCGTGCGGTGCTTGTAGGGGTTGGAATTCGTAGTGAAACAGGGGGTTCATGGCTGAATTTTATTGGCGCTCTCGAGTTTCTTTTGCATTCATTCTTCGTGGATTCGACCATTCTTTTATTTATCATTCATCGTAAGCGTACCACCATTTATAATTCGCCCATTCATAATTTTCAACAATCGTCATGGAGTTGTAAGGCCACCAAATGGGCCCATAGGCCAATATTTTGGCCGCCATCGTAATGGTTCATTCTAGCGGACTGTGCGTTTGCTCAAGAGACAGCCTTAAAAGATGATGTAGTGATGGCTGTGATGTAGTGATGGTTGTGACAGTGATTGTTATGATTATGATGATAATTTTTACAATAATTGTGATGAAGATCCATTATGGCTATTATAATTGTGGTAACTATGTTAATGTTTGCGATGAAAGTGCCGCTCGTTCTGGCAGACAAAGTCGTCTAATAACTCCTGTTCAGGAATAGTACCATGCACCATGATGGGGCGCGCCCTACCCGTACGCGTGGGGGACGAACAATTTTCGTGGCGCGCGCAAACGACGGAAGGAAGCGGGCAGCGGCGCCGTGAGAATTCTGCCCAGTGGGCTTTGGACGCGGACGCTTCGGTTGGGAGGGACCAATCAGGGCGTGTCGGCGTAGAAAGTTCTCTTGTTACAGAAGTACAGAAGCGCTTTGGTCTGCGAGCCCGCTGTTCCCGGCCGGGCGATCCGCCTTCCTCGTGCCGATTCTTGTTTTACGGCGCTTTCTCCGCTGCCTTCCTCAATCCACATTTTTCATGCTCATTTCTTCCTGTTTACTTTATAGCGACAGCTTCGCATTTGTTATGCACGTTCCTGTGATTTTTTTCCATACAGTTCTGTATGTCTAGAGCTGCAGAATTGAGATTTTCTTAACAAGAATTTCGTGTCTTACAGGTTTTTTTTTTTTGTGTGTGTGTTCCAAACCTGTAACATTTCTCTCGATTCGTTTTTCTCTCTTCCAGGGCTTTACATCTCTCCATAAATACATTTCATGAATATCTCTTTCTCTTCATTCTCCAGTTTCAGTCTCAAACAATTGTTCTGTCGTTATCCATTCCTATCAAATGCTCAATTAAACTTTATTTTCTCACTTTTCAATACTGTTTGCAGCCTTTTAAATTTCTTCCGGCGTGTCGTGAGAACGCCCGCATTTTCTCCGTGTAGTTAAAGCTGTATATTGACTATTAATTTATAAATTACTCTGGTCAGAAAGTCTTATTTATTTAGTGTTTGTGTAATTTTCACACATAAACAATTATAAAAAGATTAGTATTAATCTTTGAATATATTTTGGAAGTACTTATTTTATATCGTTTACTTCATCAGGAATCATTCAGATATCTCTCGACTTTTAAAGCGCGAGTAGTACAAATTAAATCGTCAGATACGGAATATTTAAGTTAATTATCAACGGTTAGGATTGTTGCGGCCTGTATAGTGTTCTTAGAATCAAATAATGCAATCACTATCACATAATTATAAAAATACGGTTTTCAAGCTTAAATAATCCTTTAGACTTTATTGCAAAATTCGGCGGACGCGCGACCATAAAATGTATGTGCTTGACATAAATATTTGTACGATGTAGTAGTGTCTTCCTCATTTACTTGCGTATACTGACTTCCATTGATTTATTTTTGAAGCCATTAAGATTATATCAGCCCTCTTTTATAAAACCAATAAACATCTTGCAATTTAATATGTATCGTTTCACTCGAATGTCCATCCGGGTATTATTAATGATCTGCATTGTCAATAATGTTCCGGAAATATTCTCGGACAGCTCCTCCGGTTCTGACAGTCCTCCCTCCCTCCCAAAAAGTTGTTGCAGCAAAAAAAGAAACGGAAACGCATTTGAGTGAAATCGGAAATTCCAAACAATCGCATTAAGAAACATTTCCTCTCAATATAGCTCTGTTGAAAAACAGCGTAATGAAGCGTTTATAAAGCGTGAATTAAACACTTACACTGCGGTGTCGGTGCTTTATTCGTCAACATCCTGGCTTTCACGTGTCCGTTTGACCTATTCGGCATAGCGCCGAGGGAGTGCCGAACAAAACAGACATGGCTTTCTCTCGCTATTTTTCCTATAGAGATGTTAATGAACACTACTGTTGTACACTTGTAAATAAGTTTTGCAAAGTTTTGGTTCAACTGAGGTTTACATCAAAGAAGGAATTTGTTCATTATAAAAATTTCTTTAATTATAAAAGAAGCATATTTTTAAAATGTAATATGACATCGGAATAACGAAGATATATTTAAATATCTAGGAAAACAAAGTTCATGAATTACTTGATCTTGGATTGTTGCATTGGAAAGGAAAATTGTCCTTTTAAATATGAAAATGAAGTATGATAAATTATGATTTTTCTATAGAAGGGTCAGAATGACGTCTTGTTTTACATTATATACTCATAGGAAACCTCGTGTGTTTCAAGTTTGGGAACATTGTTCGTTTATAGAATTTTCAGAACACACTCATAGAAAATTTATAGAAATTTTATTCTGCACAGTAATCAGGCCAATTAAGTTTCAAACGTAGTGACAGCTAATCGCGAACAGAACGTTGCGGTATTTATATGCTATCAAATAGCCGCTGATTCTGCGTTTCAACATTTTCTAAATGCAGCAGAAATGGAGAATCGGAATCCGCGCTAATAGCAATGTCGCTTGCAGCTGTTCCTATGCGCTTTCTGCAGCCATTGAGCGCTCCAGCCAGTTTTTTTGTGAAGTTCATACCATAAAGCTTTCGTACCGACCCGCTTGGGGCGCTTCGGGCGCTGGGAGGTTCCTCCTCAGCCGTCGCACGCGGCATGTGACCGATGCCATTTGCTTTCACGGAAATCGCTAGGCTGCAAAGGGCGTGCGCGCGCGCACACAGACCACACATACAGACACCACACACAGACACACAAACTCGACACATCACACCACTGAACACACACACACACACTGAACACACACACCACACACTGACACACACCACACTGGCAACACAACACACCACACTGGCACACACACACACAATGACGCACACATTCTACATGCACCTGCACCACACACACTGGCCCATCACACCACACACTGGCACACACACACACATGGCCACCCACACACACTGGCACACACACACACACTGCGCACACACACTGGGCACCACTGACACACACGACTGGCGCACACACGC